AGAGTTGCCAAGATTTAGCAAGCAGATCTTTTTCTTCCTCTACCTACACTAAAGAAAATGTCACTTCCACCCCAAATACCATGTGACACTGAGTTTCTATCCAAGCTAACCCACCAAATGCAAAAGGAGCCCAGCCCTAACTTCTGTGTCCAGGAAACAAGTTTCAAAATGCCCTCGCTTCTGCCACAGGTTAAACGCTGCTTCAACTACCAGTGAGGGTGAGGAGCAAAAGGACCCACACTCCAGAGAAAACCTTAGCCCCTCCGGCAAGTTTAATCAGTCAACGAACAACTCCTGGGCACCCTTCAAGAGCCAGACATGATCCATCGAACCACTGAGGGTATAAAAGTGAACGAGACCTGATTTCTGCCCATGAAGAGCCGCCAGTCCTCCAGCTGGGGTGGGGTAAGATGGGGGTGGGGGGAGCAGGAGGCCTAATGCTGATGGGGTGAGGCTCCTCGCAGGCGATGCGGACACAGCCAGGCCTTGCAGGTGAGCAGCAGGCAGAAGAGGCGGCATTTCAAAGGGGCACACAAGCCGCAGCTACGAGGCACGGAGCTGGACTGGTAAGGCACAGCCGGACGGTGGAGGGCCTTGGATGCCAGTAAGCTATGAGATCTCACCTGGAGGCAACTCACAGCCAACTAAGCGTCATTTTTAAGGAGGAGACTGCAAGCCGGCAACCTCTGGGTAAACTTGAAATATTATGAACGTGGTTGATAGTGACAAAGAAAAATGACACTCCTCCATGGCAGGAAGAAGATATTTGTTTCCCTAAACATGCACACCTGCAGAAAGCAGACCAAAAAATTCCTATATGAAAACAAACTCTTATAAAAGTTTGGCCAAGGTAAGCAACTCTACAGAGAACATGATACTTTGGGTTATTTGGGGCATTCTCAAACCCTTCTCATCGTGGGTCGAGGAAACACAAACTTGGGATGATTTGCACATACGGCTTGTGGGAACTATGAATAAACGGGGTCCCCATTTCTATCTCATGGGGTGCTAGAGAGCCAGCACAAGGTCGGATGGGCCCAGGTCACCCCTCTTGGGCAAGTTTTCTACACTTTCTGGACCTCGGCAGTGGCATCTATGTACAGGATCACCACTGAGACAGTTGTAGGTTGAACACTCTGCCAGGCACAGAGGCTCAACAAAGCAGCTACGTCAAGGGATTTAGTGGGCCCCATCCCACCTTCCCAGGCCCCACGTGGTGCTACTAATGAGCCCCCGCATTCCCCAGTGAAAATGCCCGTAAGAGCTGTGGGGCAGAGCTCTCCTGCCAGGGACCAGGCCAGGCCGGTGGAGAGCTTGGGTTTCCTCGGACCAGCCAGCAGGAGAGGGTGGATGGAGGCATGAAACTGGCTGGGGGCTCGGCCTTGGGGAAAGGCCAAACTCCACGGTGGTGCCTGGGAATGTGGGCATGGCCCTGCCCTGGCTGCAGGAGCTGGCTGGTGATCGCACCACCGTTCTGCCGCCTGCGAGCTGGATTACAATGTGCAATTGCTAACAGAGGCTTTATCCTTGAAAGAACAAGCTTTATTTAAGAAGAAAGGCAGTTGACTCATTTACCTCAAACCCATCAACCCCAGACAGACTTGTTAAAGGAGAACTGGAGGGGAAGACTCAGACACACTGTTCAAACTGGCAGCGGGGTGGGTCTCAGGTTCCCTTCTGGGCATGGTGGCAGGGAAGGCCCAGGAGGCAGCTCCAGCTGCGTGGCTGCCTTTCACAGCACGCCACGCCCTGTGGGGCGTCCCAGAGATCTGATCAGGTAAATCTGAATCAATCGGCAATGCTTCCTTAAACTCCAGAAATCTGGAGAAAAAAATAAATCTCTCAAAGTCTGAAATGAAGATTTAAAAAAAAAAAAACAAAACACTTCTCTTTTGAGAAGCTAATATTTTAAAATAAGACTGAGGGCAAAATCACATGTATCACATGCCTACAAACAGGATTACCAACCTCTTTTTCTTTGGGAATCTTGGTGGGCTCTTTCAACTAAAATAAATGAAATCTTGTCCATCATTAAGAGACTTTTCCAACCCAGACCCACTTCAACACACTTTGAAATGAGCATTAGCCAAACACCCTCTCCTTTTGCTCCAACAGCAAAAATTCCTGAAGATGCTAGAAGACAGGGAAAATTTAAATAAACTATAGTACAGTCAAATGCTGGAATATTGTGCCAACAAGAGAAATTGTATCTTCAAAAGTTTTTCAAAACACTAAAAAACACTCACATTAGAGTAATCAAGAAGCTTTGTAAGTAGGACCCCAATTTTGTGTATGTACAGACAGATGTGGGGGGGGAGAACTCTAGCTGGGTATCCTCTAAAATTAGGACAGTTTTGGTGGAACATGTGATTTTTAAACTATTTGCTATGATGTGCGTACACTTTCCTGATTGGAAATGGTTCTATTTTAAAATTTGGAAAGGTTTATATTTTGCTACATAACATGCACACCTCCAAGCTTCACTCACAGGCAGGGGCAGATCTGGGTAGGTCTCTCGAGGTGGAGCCCACCTCAGTTCCTGTGATGTGACGTTGCAGACACAGGCTTAGTCACCAGCACTGGGTCCCTCCGACGCATGTGCAGTCTGGAGACCTGGATGCCACTCAAATGATTCCTTGGTTCCAGACTTTAAACAATTCTAGTCAAATGTTCAGGGGGCCATCATCCCTTCCTGAACCTCCACCCCCTCCTCTATAAAATGAGGATAATGAAGCTGGCCCACCCTCTCTCACAGCCACACAATGAGATTATGAATGCAAGAGTATTTCTGTTAAGGTTCTATACAAATGAAAAGGTGGTATCCTTGTTGATAACAGTGCAAAGCACAGAAGCATATTTGAATGGTTCCTAAGCCCCACTAAAGTAACTACAGCCCTGACACAATATAGACATTTCTATTCCTAACAGAAAAATAACAGCATCATCAAAGCCCCAAACAGGATTCGTCCACTGATTTGCAGCCTTATTAAAAATGACAAGAATTCTACCCAAAGAAGGGGCCTCGAGTCTCACCCAAAGGTAGGCGTCAAACTATCAAAAAAGCATCATCTAGGAACCACACAAATAGTGGAAAAAAGAGAAAAGGAGAAGGGAAGGGAAGGGAGAAAAGAAAGATGGATGGATGGATGCAACCACATCCTCTTGCTAGAAAGTCATATTGCTTCGCTGGAAGTGCTCGCGACCCCAGAGCTCGGCTTCAAGAACGGGAATTGCACTCAGCCAGCAGTCTTCCCACAGCAAAAAGGCTCTCAGCCAGGTGCCTTCAATGCCTGGTACCGGCTTTCAAAGTGTTTCATCAGACTTCTGTGGATGCAACCGGAGAGCTGGGAAGCGACATCTGAAATAAGCACAGTGCCCCTTTCACTGCTACCGCAGACCCAGGGCTGGAGGAACCTTTCTGCAGCATGGTCCGACCATCAGCAGATGCGTGCGGGTCTCACCGTCTTGTCAGAGGCACACGTAGGCCCTGCCTCTTGAGGAATCTGGAAGCATCTTAAGTCACCAACAGGGCAGCCAGGTGTACTAGAGGTCAGGGGGTGAGTTACGCTAAGAGTTAGTCCCCTGTAAAGCTGGAGCTCTGTTTAGATCGTCCCTGGAGTTAGCAAGTCCTCTACGGTTATACTCCACCAGCCAGCCAGCCTGGCTGGGACATGGTTCAACTCTACAGGGCTGCCAAATGCCAAAGGGATCAGCAACACTGCATCCACCCTCTCCACCTAACTGGCCAAGTTTCAAACCAAAACACTTTGGGGTTAGTAGTTCAGACTGCACAGTGCCAAGGCAAAGCCATTCTGTGGGCTGACACCCTCACTCACAGGTGGAGGGGAGCTGGGCAACGCCCACACCAGGCTTTTGGACACAGCCCTGCAGCCTTGGAAGGTTCTCAATGTTCTTGAATAGAGGTCTTACTGGCGTTTGGGTGGGACAGTGTGTATCCTGGACAAGCCACCCACCAGCCAACTGTGACGCTGGGAAAATGCTGATCAACAGTGGCTAAGGTACGACTCCACACTCCCCATTTACCTGCCACCTGGTCCCGCAGGTGAGTCTTGGCAGGACCAAAGGGACAAAGCAGGCAAACAATACAGAAGCAGAGAAATGAGAGCCACTGCTAATCCAGAAAGGACATAGCCCAGGAAAGGCAGACTGTGGCTGTCCCTCTCCTGCAGAGCTTCGGCCCTGCCTGACATTGGGGGGTGCGGGCTATTCTACCTGAACCCTCCTCATTCTCGCCCCACTACCCAAACGCTTACAACCAAGGTCCCCGAGTGCCAGCCATATGAAAGTCAGATCCTTAAACTGGAGGCCCTGCCCTCCTGGTAGGGTTCTTCTGATCTGAGCCAGGACTTTTGATACAAAACACGCTATGGAGGCCAGCGTTTGCACAGGGGCAGGTGGACCTGCACCCGGACACGATGTTTCCTGCCGCCCTAACTGGTTGTGTGTGTGTGCTAAGTTCAACTGCCTCAGCCATACCCCTGAACTGAGCAAAGACACTAAGGAGAGCAGCGCTGCACCGCCTCGACACGCTGGCCAGAGCCTCAGCCCCCGCAGCAGCACTTCTCAAAGCACACCTTCAACGTCCAGCAAGACGCTCAGAGCCTGGCCTGGCAACCTGTCACGGGGTGGCTGACGCCAACCCCTTCCATCTGCCCCTGGCGTCAGCTGGGCCGGGACACCGGGTGGCCCAGGACAAGGCGGCTCGAAGCCACTTTCTCACAGGAGAGACTCTATTGTCCATTATCAAATTAACGATGAAGATCCATCCTCCTGGCAGAGCTCGAGGCGCGCCGGGCGCAGGCGACACTGGCCCGGCCTTGCAGTGCAAGAAGCGCCGCAGTGCTCCCCCGGCGGGGCAGCCGCGCGCCCCGGCCCGGCGCGTGTGTACACACGCACGCACACACGCGCACACCCCCGCCGCGCCGGGGGCGCCCGCTCCCCTGCGCCTTCCAGAAGCCCCGCGGCGGCCCGGCCCTCACCTTCGATGGCGATGACGTGCTCCCGGATCTGGTTCTGCAGCACCGGCTCCTCCACGCGCTCCAGCAGCTCGTAGATGGAGTAGATGTTGGGGTGGACCGACTCGAAGCGCTGGATCTCGGCCCGGATGGCAGCCGAGTTGGCCAGCTGCTGCTGGTAGTTCATGGTGCAGGCGCCGCGCCCGGAGCCGCGCGCCCCCCGCCGCCGCCGCCC